AGTCCGGATCAAAGGGAAAGAGACGGACTTCTACCTGTGCATGAACAGGAAAGGCAAGCTAGTGGGGAAGGTAAGTGTTTCCTATTAATCCCTTTGTAACCTGAGTGTTACCTTTTGCAGCCTCTGCAGATTCCTAATGATGTGTTCGAGCTTGTCCCGACAGCCTCAAATGAGAAGCAGGACCCAGGGCTTGTGGCATTTCCAAGGCGGTCCGGCCCGGCTGGGCTCTAGAGAAATGTAACAGCATTTGGGATGAAATTTATATAAAAAAAGAGGATTCCCAAAGTGGTACTGTGCTAGGGAAGTAGCAACGTGGTGCTTGCTGTCATGGAGAGCCAGGGTATAGGGTGGCAAAGCTAATACTGGGATCTGAGCATCTTACCAGGGCTGGGCCTCACGGTTCTAGCATTACAGGAGTATTTTATTACTTTGGATCCCCGCACAATGGAAGCATGTAACAAATTACAGCATATTCGCCCGTGCAGCTTAACTTCTTTGCTGAAGTCATATTTTTTGTGCCTTAACTTGTTTTTGTAACTCAGGCAGTTTTTCTGTGTTGCTGGCGAACCCAGGAGCTTAGCAAGTGGGCAGGAGGTTGCTCAAAGCTAAAATAGCGCCAGGCGCCCATAGGAGGCCCCTTCCCCGCTGCCCACGCGTTGCACCGCCAGGAATTAAAATCTGGCATCGCTGCGGCTGTGAAAAAGGGAAGCTGAGTTTTGTTTTGAGTCAACAGAGCGGCGAAAACTGCGCTCCCGACACAAGGCAGGAGTCGGTGGGGCTGCTCAAGCGCCGTTTGCTTTTGCGGTCCCGAGGGAGATGCTTGTGGGAGAGCATGGAGCATCCCTGTTTCCGCACCGGCGTTGCTTGGGAGTGTGGCAGTGCTCGGGCTGTGTTTGCCCCCATTGCAGAGCACTGGCCTTTCAGGATGCTGCTTCCCATCAGTGGCAATTTGGGAATCGCTCAGCAGGGCTGGGGAAACTGAACGCGAGCAGACCCTTTGCTGCATCCTGCACTGCTATTCCCTGCTCCAAAGGAGATGTTGTTTGCTCTTGCATGAGCAAATGAGTCCTTTTGCTGGACTCGGAGCACTTAGGATGCGGATGGATGCCTTTGAAAATTGCTCTCAACATGTCTAATATCTGGCCCCTGATTGCTTTATGCCTTAGATTTGCATCCTTTAGATGTGATAATAGCAGCTCCCCTCCTCTTAGGGATGTTATGAGGATGAATATGTTAATGTTTATGAGGTGCTGATAGCACGAGAGTGGAGGAGCAGTGACCGAATTAGCCGGGATAAAGCGAGCATAAAATGTTACTGCTTCCCTTAATAACGTTTGCCCCAGCGTGGTGGATCCCTAACGGTGCGAGCAGCGAGCCGCGTCCTTCGCTCGTCCGTGCCCAGTGTCCCGGAGCGCCCAACAGGGTCAGAGGCTGCTTTTCACGATGTGCAGTGGATTTTGGCAAGACCCGTCCTGTCATTTGGCCCACTGGGCAACAAGGCTGGACGGTTCTTCAGCCTGTCACCCTTCCTACCGCGTAAAGCTTTTGTTTTCCTTTTTTTTTTTTCTTTTTTTTTTTTTTCTTTCTTGGTGTGCTTTTTATAACATTAAACTGGCAAACTGCTTGTTATTTAAAAAAAAAAAAAAATTTTTTTCCCCTCGTGTAAATATCCCATGTGAGCCTTCCCACCCCAGACTGCTGACAAGTTCATAAACCAGCCGACCTGAGCAGGAGGGGGTACTGAGCGCCGCGCTTGGAAGGAAAATGTTCCAGACGCATTGCCCGTATTAACAGCTTCTCATGAGCAAGAAAGAAAATAATAGCATGTCTTCTTGATACCAAAGAGTGTGGTTTTAATTAGTATCAGAGTTTCAACTTTTTTTTGTGGCAAGCGTTTGAGGGGAATGCTTTTTAGGCTGAATGCTCTAAACAGCTAGTAAACCCCAAGGAAAACATTAGATAAAAGTTACGCCTCGGCTTATACAAATATTGAAGTTCAGTCTGGGGGTGGAGGGGAATGAAACCCATAAACTGATTGTTTCACGGTTGCCCCGGTATGTTCATTTGGCAACGGAGGAGCCGTGGGACAAAACTGGTTCTTTTTCTCTGCTCATTTCCTATTGCCTTACACTGCATAATCCCCAACAATACCGGCATGTGCCATCTGGCTTTGTTCTCCTCCTCAGTCAGCGTTTTTGGATCCCCCCCAGCTGAAAAACCTGCTTTGAATTTAGTGCTTTTTAAATTTTTTTGTTTCCCATAATCACCTACAAAGGGTATTACGAACCCGAGCAGGTTGTTGTTGCTCTCGACTGGAACGTCCTATGAGTACAACTGCTCCAGAAACTGGGCTCCTTCCCTACCTTGGAGCTAGCTGTGTTACAAGCAAATGCACCAACCCATATGGTTCACAAGAGCAGCCTTTGGGGGTTTGGTTTTGTTTTGTTCTGCATTTTATTTTATTTTACTTTTTCTTAATATTTGAGCTGGCAGTTGTGCCAGCTTTTCTGAGTTGCAGCCATCTGATAGAGCTTTCTCAGGAGCTTGTGTTGTGCTGGTGTTTTTTGATATTGTGTTTAAAAAGGTCCAAGGAAGGTCTCCTTTTATTTATTAATTTATTTATTCCTCTTCTGACCCTGTTTCCCACCCCTCACCCCGTGTTTTTTGTTGTCTCTATTTTAACACATGAAGAAATTGTATGTCCTGACTCTTCTGATTTTTGCTTTTCTGTGGACCAATGACCTTTATGGTGTGGTTTCGTTACATAGGAAATATGAAAATTCAGAAGAGGAAGAGTAGACATTTTTGTTGAAAACCTTGTTTTTTTTATTATTATTGTTTATTAAACTCAGACTTCTATCAACACTGGGAGGAGAGGACTCAGCCCTCTCTCCCCTTACATGCGAAAACATTTCTGTTCTAGGTCGTTAGTACTCCTACACCATCTCTCTAGCTATCTCATGCTAGTAATTCCTCCTAATAGTGTGATTTCCATATTGAATAGGACTGTCTTCAGATGTGTTTCACCTTGGGCTCACATGTGCTCTCCCAGTCTGTCTCCTCTATCTGTAGCTTCTTATGTGTAGACATGCGAGGGTGTTGGTGGCAAAGGGCATGATGTGACTTTTCATGGAGAACACAGGGACCTGAATATTTGCAATAATTTAATGTTAGGGGTGGAGAGGAGATACTGATGTCTTTGAAGGAGCTCTGGATTTCTGACTGTGGTTCTCCTGGGAGGTCCTTTGGTGGCTTTTCTCTCTGCCTCAGCTTCTCTTATCTCATGCGTTGAGATAATGATGCCAATAAAGCGGGGGACTGCACCTTCACAAAAAGCTGCCAAAGAGAAGTGTTTTAAACCTCTGCAACGGGGAAGAGCAGGCAGGGATGTGAGCAGGTGGCTTGGTCACCTCTAACTGTTCTTGTTGCACCTGCCCTTACAGGAAATTGGTTCTATCTAGAAGAACAAGACATTGCAGAGGTTTCCTTTTCCTTTCCTTACCTCTCTCCTATACTTCTCAGGGTTTGCAAGAGGTCACTGATCTGTTTGAAGACTTAGACTTAAAGACTTCCTATAGGGAAGGGCATCCCATGTAACTCATGTGTCTTCCTCATTTAACATGTAGGTTTAGAAGGCCCCAGGTCGCTGGTAGTTTCTTCTGAAAGATTCATTGGCAGGGATGCAAAAGATTTGAGATGAATGGGGAAGGAGCTAAGCACGCCTTTAATTTTATGCAGAAATTGCTTCAGAAGATGCTTCAAGTGGTCCTACTAATGTTCTTGCATGGCTGGTCAAGCTTATCTGGACTGTGCCTATTCAGATCCATAGATAACGTTGTCTCCTGCCTGTTGTTGCTTTTGTTTTGAATACAGCTCCTCCTTGCAGTAAGCTTGGATCACTTCTGGATCCCTTCCTGGAGGGAGAAGCAGGTGCTGAGTGATGGAGCTTCCTCCTCTTGGTAGCCAAGGCTCTTGGCGTGAAGGAGTTGGGACAATGTGGTGACTGTCATTGCTTTGTGCTGTGGTCCTGCGTGATGCTGTTCCTCACTGTCTGGCTGCAATCTTGATGCTGTGAATCTTTAGCAAACTCCCACCCTCAGGAGCTGGGGTGATTTCTCGTTCTGAGGTAGGCTTTGACTATCAAGAAACAGCAGCAGGGTTTGATAAGCTGTGTGTCTGTTCTGGGTGTCATCTCCCACCAGGTTATTCTCATAAAGGACAGTGAACGTGTGAAGTATGAGGAAAGCCAGTTACTTTACCAAGGTCATTGCTGTGGCCATGCCTGTATCCCTCTGCTTGATGACCTGCGTACCTGTAAATTGGACACAACTGTCTGATTTAAAATAAAAAATGCACTGCACATCAGATTGGAAATCCCATGTAAGCAAGGATCCCATTAGTCTAGATTCACTGCATTCGTATTTGTCGTGCTTCCCTTGACAAAAGCCTTGGGACTTAGCCCAGTGGGACTCGTGTGTGTAGGCAGGGCTCTTTATGCTGGATTTTGACTCCCTTTTAGGAGCAGCGCCTGGGAGGGACGGGAATACATTTAGTGCCCTATAGAAAGTGGAAGGAGTAAAGTCACGTCCCCAGAAATCTCCTCTCATTTGCATCAGTTCAGCTCCTAAAAATTCAAGCTGAAGAGCATGCAATACTCTAAAGTACGTATTTTCCCACCAAATCTGTATGCTGACACGCACCGTGTCACTTTTGGATTTCTTTAAAATGCCCTTGGTGATGACGTGTAAACACTTTCAGGAAATCATTATAATATATATACCTTATTTAAAAGGGAAAAAAAAAGGCATTTTAATGACTTCATTTTAATGTGAATACTGGGGCAAACCTGGTCCCTAGAAGGCTCCCTAGCCCTGGCCAGCTGGGATGGCTGGAGCATGGCAGCACCGCGATGCTGGTATCAGTTTACGGGACAGACCTGCCTCAGAAACGCAGGATTATTCCTGGTGTGATAACTGCTTTCCAAGCCAATATATTTCTTAATGTTACCAGAAAGTTGCTAATACCATATGGCAAGGCGCTCTGTATTTTTGCAGGACAACAAACAAATTG